GCTTTTCCCAAAATGAAGGTTAAACCTGGCGAGGGGGGATTAGATCACACCACAGATTTTCTGAGTGGCTTTGGCTGAATTCCTCCGTGTCTGTTCATGAGGGTTTCCCTGCAATATTTAATTAGGGCAGAAGCCTCACGAGGCCGAGTTCTTCAGAGCAGGTCAGTGAGGCTGTGGAGTGAAGGGAGCTCTATTTAATGTCATTAATTTGGGATCTGTGTGGCTGATGGCTTTGCTGTATTTCAGACTCTCAGTGCCAGACTGGTAATTCTATAAAACTCTGAGCCCCGGGGCACTCTGGGGCAAGGAAAGCTTCGTCGCTGATGTAATTTTTAATTTATATTGTCATACATAAAGATATATAAATATATATGCTAAGCCAGGGTTCAAGCCTGTGTTTAAGCCTAAACTGACTCTGCACACAAATTTTAACGAGCTCTGGTGCCTCAGAAGGCAGAGGGTCCCCACGGCCTCTTCCACAGTCCCATCTGCTGTGGGAATGGGATGGGCACAAGCTGGGCTGTGCCAATCATCCCATATCCCAAAATATCATTTAGCTGATGGAGAACTGGTGCGTGAGGGAGCTCCAGCTCCTTCCTAGAAGTCTTTAATCCTGTTAGCAGCCTGATCCTAGCAGGCTGCAGATATTTGGGAGATGACTGAGGAGTGTACTTTGTAATGACCCAATTTCTGGCCAGATCCAACGGAGAACAGAATCGCTGCTGTTTGCATCGGGACACGGTGTCAAATTTTCCCCGGAGGTGGTTTGGATTCGCTGGGAAGGTTCAGAAATCCAGTTGGCAAAGGAAAACCCCCTTCCCTGTGCAGCGTCGCTCCACCACTTAAAACGTGATCCAAACCTAAGGAAGCCCCTCCGCTTGGCGAGATTTACAACTTCCCAGCCCGGGCTGGCGACTGCAGCACCCCCTCTTTATTCCAGGGGCATCCCTGGCTCTGTTCTTCTGTCCTCCCCCCCCCGGATGAGCAGAGCAGGTGACTTCCAAATCCCGCCACCCGGCAGATGCTTCCGCAGCACCAACTGTTCCGATCCCCCCCCGGCCCATCCCCGGCTTTCTTCTCCCCCTCCTTCCCCCGCGTCCCACCAATCTCGGCTGCCTGGCACATGCTGCAAGCCCCGGTCCCACCGGAGCGATATTGTGATGGAAATGAGGGAGGGGACGCGGGGAGAGCCGCGCAGATTTACGGCACTCCGAGGGTCCCCATTAAAATCCTTTGACAGCTCCTTATTTACGAGCGGCCCGACAGCTCCTCTAATATCCAGGGCCCGGACCCCATTCACTCCAATAATGCTGGCGCGGAATAAATGAGGCAGAGGATGGAAACCAGCCCTGTTAGGATAATGGAGGGGGGTAATGGCTGTTTAGAGAAAACAACCGCCGTAATTCTGGGACCCGATCCTGCCACCGCCGGAACAACAACGCGCCGATTCTTCTTCGCCGGGATTTAATTCAGCGCTAAGAGGGTGATAAATGGCAGCGATCGGGTTTGGTGCCGTTGTGCCCCCGCCGAGCACCCTCTGGTTGGACAAGTGCGGGGAGATAAAGGCGCTCCCTGACTCCCGGGCGGGCAGGGGGAGCTCAGGCTGGATCTCCATAAACAACGTGTGCTTGTAAAATAATCTAAAAGACCAAACCTCCCCTCGTGCATGAGTGCAATATCTGCATTTTCAGACTAAATCTCCCCTATTGCAGAAGTGCAATATCTGCATTTTCAGGCCAAACCTCCCCTCTGCACAATTGGAATATCCCCGTTTTTAAGTTAAGTTTCATGTCAGCCCGTCCTTCCCCGGGTTTTCCTGAGCTGCCCCACCGAACCAGGCTGGAATTCTGTCCAACTGCAGTTTTGGAAAAACGGTTTTTTCCACCGTTCCCTCCTCTGCTCTCTCCCCCTCCCATCATTCCCCTGCCAAACACAGGAGCCCCTCCACTTGGTAAACACAGGACTGACCCCCAAAATGAGGATTTGGATGATTTTAAACCCCAGATGTGAGTTGTGCTGCTCTGCAGGATTATTGGTTCTGCTGTGTCTTAAAATCCACCTGACACGCTGAGTATTTAGGACAAATCACCCCATTTGTGTTCTCCTTTCCCTCCTTTGTTCACCTGCGGGTGGTTTATTCACTGGGAATCCCTCCTGAAAGAAGCTGAACCACCTCAGAGCTATTCCAGCATCCCTTCAGATCCTCTGGCTGTCAGGGCTGGAATAGTTTGTGTTTGACACCCACAGAAATGGATTAATTGGGAATGACGTGCCCTGGACAGGGACAGATGGATTTAAAATATCCTCTGGGTGACTGGGAGAGAAAACCCAAGAGAAGAACCAACTCCTTGGAAAAGGAAGGAGCAGCAAAAGGAACTGTCTCAGGCCCAGTGTTTTTTCCTGGATCATAAAATCCCTGAATCATGGAATGGTTTGGGTTGGAAGGGGCTTTAAACCCATCCAGTTCCACCCCCTGTCACAGGCAGGGACACCTTCCACTGGACCAGGTTGCTCCAAGTCTCTTCCAACCCAGGATATTCCATGAAAATGATGTATATTCCCAGGGATTTGGCCCCCAGAGTGTGAAATCCTCCTTTGAGATCCATTCCTAATGAGTTCACATTCGTTAACCTGTTCAGATGTTACCTGGTTTGGGGTACAAATGGAGCCAAACCCCCACTGCCCCTCCTGAAAATTCATATCCAGGTCCTTGTCCAGCACATCCCAATGTAATCCTGGATCTCATCCAAAATGGAACTATAGCTAATTATCAGCCATTCCAGCTACTTCTGTATTAAACCATAAAATCGAGAGAGGATTGAAACCTCTCCTGATTCCAAAGGCTAAATGCAGTGGTGACATAAATAACGCCGTAAATTACAGGCAAAATGAAAACTTGGTCAGGAAATATGGGATGTAATTTGTGCTCGGGGGTGAATTGGTCCCTGGCTGCCCGGGGTGGGGAAGGTGTGACCCGGATGGGGCCGGAGGGGATGGCTGGGATTGGGAATCTGGGTCATTATTGCAGAAAAATGAACGGGACAGCTTCAAATGCTTCAAAAAAGCGGCGTCCCTGGGAGATTTATTGCGGTCTGACCCCCTCTGCCGGTCACCTGCCTCTGTCCCGGGGCCGGCACCGAAATGCAGGCACCGAAATCCACACAAAGGACGGGAAAACACCGCTGGAAAACCCCAGGGAGCGGTGGGAAAGGGGGGGAGAGGCAATTCCAGGGCAGGGACACTGGAACCGGGGGCTCAAGGACACCGAGGGCAGGGAAGGAAGGAAAGAGGGCTGAGAACTGGGCTGAACCAGCAGGGGTTGAGTAAAAACTGCTTTTGTGTCTCTCCAGGTTCGACCTGTCCCGATGCAAAGCGGTGAAAGAAGAAGAATGTAATTTAGGATGAGGATGTGCAGGAAAATGTTGTGGGGGGGAAAAGTGTTTTCTTGGAAAAATATGGGACAAATGACCCTCATTTTAAATGTTTAGTTGTCAAAATTGGGACAGAGTTATGCCAGGAATATTGAGATTTAGTATAGTATTATTATTATTATTATTAATAATAATAATAGTAATGCTGATCTAAAAACGTGGAGCTGGATGAACTCCTCCCTCACAGAATCATGGAATTGTTAAGGTTGGAAAAGACCTTTAAGGTCATCAAGTCCAACTATCATATTGAATTCAGTCATCAATAACAATAACAATAACAATAATAATAATAGCAAAACCTGTACAATAGCAAGTACTTTCAAAATAATATTTTATCCTCCCAAGGAGGTTTTCAGCTTTTTCCTCCTGGTCCAGGGAAAGAGGTGTTGACATGCTGGACATTCCTGTGATGGTTGGACTTGATGTCCTTGAAGGTCTTTTCCAACCTCACCAATTCCATGATTCTGTGAGGGAGGAGTTCATCCAGCTCCAGGTTTTTAGATCAGCATTATTATTATAATTATTATTATTATTATTGATTATTGAATTCAATATGATGGTTGGATTCCATGGTTCTGTGAGGGAGGAGTTCCTCCAGCTCCAGGTTTTTAAATCGGCACCACTGGAAAGGATATAAATAAATAGATCCCAAACAGCTCATTTTCCGTTCCTGGTTTGTTATCCCACACTCCTCCTTGGCCTTCCTGACACATTCCCAAGTTGTGAGGATCAACCAGTGCCCCCGGGGGACCCCACGAAGTTATTCACAAGTGCTTAAGTACTTTGTTATCCAGGAGCTTCAGCGAGTAATTGAAAGCCTGCAAAGAGCTCCCTGAAGAGCCCAGCAATTCCTTCGGTTTCATTTATTCCTTTAAGGATGAACAGACACCGACATCTTTTTCAAAGGTGTTTTTTCATACAAGCTTTTATTTTTCTTCGTGGTTATTTCCCGTTACAGGTTGTTAAATAAAGCTCACCAGTATCAGACATCTCAAGGCAGAAATACTCTCTTTAAACCCAGCCTGATAAAAAGGTTGTGTGGAATTGAAGCAGGAAAACATTATTGTTACTCTAAAATATTTTGAAGCCTCTATGTAAACTCCTTAGGATTTTTCTATTGCTTCAGATGCTCAGCAGGAAACACAGTGTGACACAGCTGGATAATAAACCTTTACCCATCTGTGTCTGCATGGAAAAAAGAGCTGTAAATCATAAACTGAAAATGCTGGAGCAGAAATGAAAATAGTCACTGGATAACATGTGCACAAAGCATTGGAACGTCCCAAGGCACTTGGTTGTGATTCCCAACGTTTTGGTTTAAGAACAGGCTCCTCTTGGTAAATCAAGAAGGCTCAGAAATGTAAAAAAATCACCCAGAATCAACGAGGTTCTGCTGAGAGGTCATTTATCCCCAGCTGCTGCTCTCCTGGGGGTTCCACACCACACTGACCCTCCCTGGTCAAAAATTCCAAGTTTTCCTCATCCTGAAATGGAAACAAGTCATTCTGTCCACTTTGCTGGAAGAGCAGCCCCAGACTTGGAGTGCAAACAGAAATTCCACCTCTTTAGAAATATCTGTCACCTGCTTTGCAGGGTGAAAGAAGATGTATTTTTATTTGGGTTTTCCCTTGTTAATTCTGCATTCCAGAAGCTGGGAAGTGTGATCCTGAGGGGTTCTATAAAATGCTTCTGGTCTTTGGTTACCCACCAGAGGGCTAAAATAAAGAATAATCACATGGGAGGTGCATCAGCCAAGCACAGAAAGCTGCTGCTCTACATCCCATCACCTGGATCCCCGTTACTCAGTCAACTAAATCACTAATTGCAGGAGTTGTAGGTTGTTTAACAAGCAGACAGACTTTGTCCAAGGTAAGATTTGAGTTTGATGAGGGTGATTCAGCTGCAGGAGGTGGGTGTTTGACCTGATTCATGTGCTGGAAGCTCAGTCAGTCCTGGGGGGGGTTCAGCAGGAGTGGAGCCTGCACAGGGATTTTGGGCTGTTCTCACCTATTCTACAGAGAGGCAGGATTTATTCCAGATTTATTCCAGCTTTATTCCAGCCTGTGGCAGAGCAGATGGTCCTCAAACACCTGCTGGTTCTCGAAGCTCTCGGGGCACATGGGACAGTCCAGGAGGTGACTCCGCACGTGGGCCTCGTACTGGCTGGGATCCACATCCCCAGGGAACACCTCCCCACACAGGGGGCACACCCTGAGAGAGGCCTGGAGGAGGAAAAAACCCAAATAAACCCAGTTTAAAAGTTACATCCAAAGGGAAGAAGCAGGAGGGTTCATCAGACATTCAGGTACCATCACTTTGGGACGAGTGGTTTCCTGGCCTGTAACACCCTCTGTAACATTTTCAAATGTCTCTGGGCTTCTCTAAATAGCACTTAAAAAGTCAGGAGCCCCTGAGAGGTGCCCTAACTTTCCATCCCACAGAGCACATGGCCCTGTCTCCTTGTGAAATCAGGGATTTAGCAGCTGCAAGCTGCTCATTCTGACCTTGGGTGCTGCCAAGAGCAGGCCCTTAAAGATTGAGGTCAAAGGAGTTTCTTTTCCATAAGACACAGAAATCTCATTATTCTGATGGGATATTACACATATTTATATTCTTCTCATATTATTAATTCTCCATTTTGTTTTCTCCTGCCTTCCCAGGACCAAACCAGTGAGTGGATAATTGGCCACAGAGCTGAGCTTGGAGCTCTTCATTTCCAACCACCGACTCCTGCCCACAAACCACTAATTCCTGCCTGGCCACGGCCACTTTACTTACTTCAACTCCTGCCCCCAGGTTTCCTCCTGCAGCTGGAAAAAAGAAAAAAAGCCCATTCAAGCCACAGCAAAATGATTCCCAATGTAATGTGCTGGTAACCAGCAACTCCTGAAACACCAGGATGTGGCTCTGGATCTAAACCTCGATATTGAGGACTCTGGAATCTGGATGGAAGCCACAGACTGGCTGCCTCCCAGCTGAACAAACCAGCTCATAGCTGCCTGTCTTGGCAGAAAAGGCACAGCCTGATCACTGAAGCCCACTTTTAACACCTGGCAGGGTTTTGCAGCTGCCAAAGTCCTCTGCACACACAGGCAGAGGTGCCCTGGAAATGGCTTTTCTGCAGTTTGCAGAGGGCACTTTGCTGGGCTTCAACTGCCATGAATTCGTGGTTTCAGCCCGAATGCCAAGGAATCTCACCACTGTATGGATTTCCAAACACGAGGCCTCCTGCCCCAGGAGCTGGAGTTGGATCTGGAGCCTGGGGAAGGTTGGAGAGGGGAGAGAACTCGGTGGCCTGGGAGAGGTGCCTGAGCAGAGCTCTGTTCTCAGCCCGCAGCTTCTGCAGAGGGACACGAGGACACTGTTAGTTCTCAGGAAAAAAAGGCCTGTTTTGCCCCAGCACAGCCCCTCTGGCATCAGGAGCTCAGTGCTCTGAAGTTTGGGGGAGCTCAGGGTTGGTCCTGCTGGAGCAAACAGGGAAGGGAGGGAGGGAAGGGTCACCAGGGACAGGACACAGGGAATGGCTTCCCACGGACTGAGGGCAGGGTCAGCTGGGATACTGGGGGGAAATTCCACCCTGGGAGGGTGGGGAGGGGCTGGAATGGATTTCCCAGGGAAGCTGTGGCTGCCCCTGGATCCCTGGAAGTGTCCAAGGCCAGGCTGGAGCAGCCTGGGAGAGTGGAAGGTGTCCCTGCCCAAGGCAGGGGGTGGCACTGGCTGAGTTTAAAGTCCCTTCCAACCCAAACCATTCCATAATTCCATCTGTTCTGTGGCCTCAGAGGGGCAGATGGGATGATCACAACAGAGCAACACACTTTAAAAGACAGGAGACTGTCCTGGAGTCACTCAGAGTGAGGAACAAACCCAGGCAGTGCTTGCTCAGCCTGGACTAAAGGCCATGGCCTTTCAAAGGAGCAGCTCCAGCCATTCCAGAGGCATCAGAATTGAACAAACATCAGGAGATTTTAAAAATCCCACGTTACTGGGGCTAAAGCAGCCCATGGGGTGGGGGGAAGAGGTGCCAGGACACTGAGGGTGGGCACATCTGGGGGTGCCCAGCAGCCTGGCTGGGGGTGATGGTCCCAGTTTCTCAGGAAGGGTTAATGGAACTGGACACCAGACTGGGAGACCAGTGTCATGTTCCCCTCAGGAGGAAGGTGAGGGAGCTGTGCCAAGGTCTCACCTGACTTTCCTCATCAGCTTCATCCTTCTCTGCCTGCAGGACCTGGAACAAATGCTTCTGCTCCTCCAGCTCTTTCAGCAGGTCCTGCTGCTGTGAAAGGGAAGGGGTTGGAAAATCAGGGGGAAGTGGCAAATCCAAGGGTGGCAGCCCCAAGCTGGAGCTGTCCCACACCTGCTGCCTCAGGCTGCATAATTTATCACCCACAAATAACCTTCCCCTTTCAGTGGGGGTGTTTCCATCCCAGAGTTTGTCACTGGGGACATCTCCATGTCACCACTCACTTGTTCTCATGACAACACAGGACCTCAAAGGGGAACCAGACAGGTCAGAGAGGGAGGGGAGGAGGAAGAAAAGGAACCCAAACTGCTGAGAAATCCACCCTGGCAGGCAGGAGCTGTCCCAGCCTGCAGGATTCCTGGAGCTGTGTTTTCCACGGACAGCCAGGACATCCTGAGGAATTCTCTGCAGCTGACTCGTGAATTAAACCAGCAAAGGAGATCAGCCCCAGTATTTGGGGATTCTGCAGTCACTCCCAAAGCATCCCTGGGAGAATCCCAGGCATTTGGCATCCCAGCAGAGGTAATCACAGCACCTATTTTTAGGCATCTGGTTCTCAGGGCCAAAATTAGAGGGGAGCCTCCAAAACTTCCTGAGGGGCACAGGGAGAGAGGGAGAAGCCCCTCGGGAAGGTCACTCAGGACACCAGGCTGGAGGGGATGGGGTGGTCTCAGGCATTGCAAAGGTGGGGTTTTTTTGGGAGGAAGAAATGCCACAAGGAGCTGCCCTTTGCCTTTGGATCCTTCCCATTCCTTCCAGGAATGTCAGGGGAGGGCTGGGGGGGCCTCAAACTGCACAACAGGAACTCTGTGTTCTTTGTGGCTTATTTTGGTGCCCTCTGAGCACGTGGCAACTGTTTTGGTGATTATTAAATGGCAGTTTGGGGATATTAGAGGTGAGAAAGAGACAAAAAGAGAAGGGTAAAGGAAGGGGAAGGGGAGAGAAGGAGAGAGAAGGGGAGACCAGCAGGGCTGTTGACTCACACCAATTACTGGCCAGCCTCCTGTGGGAGGCAAAAGGCACAAAGTCTGGGGCAGATTTAGGGTCACTTCTTTTATTTACCCCTAAATCCCAGTCCTGAAACAATTTTGCTGAGATGCCACGATTCTCCAACAATCTATCCAGCAAATATCGACCCCAAAGTCCCAGGGACTCCCTTCACCCCTTGGGTTGCCTCCAAATGGACCAAGGCAGAGCCCAAATTTTCCTTGTGCAGAGAC